GCAAAATAAGAAAGAAAATCTAAGCCTAAACATGGCTAAAAGAATTCAAAAGGAAACAACTCTTCCTACTCAGGACATGCCCTAGGTTAGGAAAAACCAAACCAAAACACAAAGACTCAAAAAACACTCCTCTTCTTTGCTATTTTATCATATCAACAAAAAGGAAACAAGAGAACTACTCGAAGCAACCCGAGAGAAACCACACACATTCAAATTTTTCTTAAATACAACCAAAACAACTCTTCTACCTAGGACATGCCCTGGGTTAGGAAAAACCAAACCAAACACAAAGACTCAAAAACACTCCCTTGTTTATCTATTTTATCATATCGAACAAAAATAGGAAACAAAGAACTACTCATGAAGCAACCAGAGAGAAACCACACACATTCAATCTTTTTTAAATACAACCAAATCCATTCCCCCCATCCTCCCACTCCGCCCCCCCCGCCCCCCCCCCCCCCCCCCCCCCCCCCCCCCTCCCCTCTCTAGTGCATCCTATTTTGATTTATTTTATAATATAAGTTGTTTTTCATTAATTTGCATGGTGTTACAATATTCTATGTTATTGTTTTGAATGCAATGTTCAAAGATAGATCCATTGACATGTGTCTTGTTCCAGGAGAGTAGGAATATAATAAAAAAAATTGGATGCATCGACAGCTTATAAGTTTTTGATGAAGGAAAAGTAAAGAAATTAAAAGGACTACAGCAAAACAAAGAATTTAGTCCTTATAAATTCTTTCCATTTCATTATATCATCTCATTTTTATAATAGAACTAAGGTTTATGATTAAAAGAGAAAATAAAAATTTTAGATTAATAACTTGGGGTTTATCATGGGTGAAATGTAGTGTTTAGATCGGTTAACGCAACGGATTTAAAATTTTTATTACACCACCAAACCCAAGATCCTTATGTGATTTATATTGCTTTAAAACATGAAATAAATTAATAATCATATTAATTTAGTATCATACATCATTGAAGACTCGTCCTCTTCATTCTTGCTCCGAATTGATTCGCAAATCGATTCAAGAATAAAATCGCTCTAACGAAATCCCACGAAGGTAGGATGGTGAAATCACAACTAATTGAATTGCTAAATTCAATAATTTCTCTCAAATTCTCTCTAAAAATTTGAAAGGGTGGCTAGGCTTTCTCCTAAAACGTATTCATAATTTTCTCTTCCTTTATATAGTAAAGGATAACTTATCCCTCACTTGGAAATAGATTAATGCTATTCCATGTGGAATATCTATAACAGATAATAATAATAAACTATATATATATATTAGAACATATATTCACCATTAATATTAATATACTTGTAATTTTGCTAAATTAATTCCAATTAAATATTGAATACCGGCAACAACCCAACGAATTTAATTGCACATTATATTACCAAAATACCCATTTCATCTATATAGACGAAATTATCCTTTCCTTCATCATTAACCTTAAACTACCTTTAATGTATGTGACCCGTAGGCTCTTATCATATTGTTATGAACCGGAACCGTATTAAGCATCAACTAATCAGCTCTTGGTACACCAACTAAATTGGTCTCCAGCAAGACATCATGGTTATCCAACAGATAAGAATTCAGTGAAATCACTACTGTCAATGGTATGACTACTGTGCAATCCAATCCTTTCATAATTTATTATCTCATCAAGGTTTGAAGTACAAAAATAGTGTTAACTACAATATATTACCTTGACATATTTGTATTTGATCATTGGACAACACCAAGCAAAATGGGATTTGAGCAACACCATCATTTCATTATGGCCACATATTTACAGTCGTTGCCATTTACCAAAAAACTCAATGAGATAATTCTCCGGTACCAAAAGTGATGAACTTTTTCAATCCACCATAGCAATAGTGTACTTCTCAATGTGTCAATCACTACCATACTGATAACCTTAAAAAAGACTACGTTAGGCTAGCATTAATTATACCAATTTTAACCACGAACTTTGGTGATCTAAATCTAAGGATCACATACACACCCCATCCGTTAGAAGATATATTCCATGACACTAGGGTTACCTATATTGGAATCCTCTAGTGGAGCAGTCTAGTGAACTTTCCAACTGCAAGCACTACGCATTGCACCAAGTTGTCACCAACAATTCTGACATGTGAATCTGTCACTATCTTTCGATATGGTCGTTCAACGTTGTGATAGCCTTACTATATTATTTGTGCCCTTGGTTAGAATAACACCAAGGTTACATACGTTTCTAAAATAGCCATCTAAAGTGATTATAGGGTCTTCACAATCAATTTAAAACACTTAATACCCTCGACACAATTCTACCATTCTAAAGGCATATATTGTACACAATATTATAACGAATTCCAATATAATAAATTGCCTTTATTAATACAATAACATGATATATAAAACAATTACTGATATATGATTTGCTCTAAGGCACCTATTCTAACAATCTCTCACTTGCACTAAGCCAATCATTCCCGTATTAATACCAAATGATGCTAAGTGCTTATCATGCTTTTGTTGCAACAAAGCCTTTGTCAGTGGGTCTGCAACATTTTCATTTGTAGTACTTTGCTTGTCTAACATCTCCTCTTGAACAATTTCTTTGATAAGTGGGAAGCGCCTAAGTATATGTTTGGATCTCTCATGAGACCAAGGTTCCTTAAGTTGAGCATGGCTCAATTGTTATCGTAGTATATCTCTACTGGATCAGCAATGCTTGAAACTACTCCAAGTTATGTAATGAACTTCTTAATTCAAACCGCCTCTTTGGCCGAATATGATAATGATATAAACTCGAATTTGGCTACAGAATCTGCCACAGTATTTTGTTTTGAACTCTTCTAGCTTACTGCATTACCATTAAGACATAATACAAACCCAACTGTGATCGATAATCGTCATTGTCAGTTTGGAAACTTGCATCACCATATCCTTTAATGGTGAGCTCGTCCTCTCTTATATATATCAAGAACATATCCTTAGTCTTTTTCCAAGTATTTAAGGATATTCTTGACAACAATCTAGTGACGCTCGCTTAGATTTGACTGATATTTACTACAAATGCTTAAGCACATGAGATAAGACATCAATCCAAGTACACAACATGACATACATGATAAATCCAATGGTAGATGCATATGGGATTCTACTCATTTTATCTCTTTCTTCTTGTGTTTTAGGACACATATCCTTAGAGAGATGTATGTCATGAGACATAAGTAAAAATCCTTTCTTGGATTCTTCCATATCGAACCTCTTTGGTACTTTGTCTATATATGTACTCTAACTTAGTCCTAGGAACCTACACGATCTATCACGACACATCTTTATGCTAAGAATGTAGGCAGCTTCTTCTAAGTCTTTCATGGAGAAGCGCTTGGATAACCAAGTCTTTACTGACTGTAAGTTCATTATATCATTCCTAATAAGTAGTATGTTGTCGACATACAGTACAAGGAATGCTACTGCGCTCCCCCTAAACTTCTTATACAAACAGGGTTCATCTTCATTCTTGATGTATCCATATTCTCTCATGACTTCATCAAAATGAATATTCCAGCTCCTTAAAGCTTGCTGAGTCCATAAATGGGTCTCTACAAATTGCATACCTTCCCGGCTTCTCTCTCAAGAATAAAACCATCAGGTTCTATCATATACATATCCTCTACTAGGTTTCCATTCAAGAAAGATGTTTTGACATCTATTTTCAAAATCTCGTAGTCATGATATGCATCAATCACAAGCATAATCTGAATGGACGTTACCATCATAATCAATGCCATGTTTTTTCTTAAACCCTTAGCAACCAGTTGTGTCTTATAGGTATGCATGTTACCATCCATGTCAGTCTTCTTTTTTAAGACCCATTTACATCCTGTGGGTTTTACCCCTTCTGGTGAGTCCACTAGAATCTATACTTGGTTCTAGTACATGGAGTATACATATATTTAAATATATATAATCTCACCAATTTTAATTTCAATATTAAAATTGAATAAAGGCAATGACCTCAGCAAATTTAATTGCACTGTGAGATTACTAAAATACTTTTTCATTTTAAAAGACAAAAATAGGCCTTTCACAAAGTGATTCTTAAATTATCTTCTAAGTGTGTAACCTGTAGGCTCCTTATCATATCAGCAGTGAGTAGTATTGCGATTAACACTCAATTAATCATCTCACTACACACAAACCAAGATTAGCCTCTAGCAAGACATCATGGTCACCTGATAGATTCGAACTTAGTGAAACATCTACCTATCAACGATATGGTTATTGTACAATCAAATCCCTTCATCATTCATTATCTCATTAAGGCTGAGGTACATAAATAGTGTCAACATCAGATATCCTTGATCTCTTTGTATTCGGTTACTNATTAGCCACAACACAATCCAGGTGAAGCATTTATAGAGCTTGGATATGTATTGGATTTCCATTTTATCTAGGACTAGAAATGAACAATGGTATCACAACTTATTTCTTCAGTCAGTATATTGTATTTTAATCTCAACATACATCACAGGGAAATGGTGAGCATCCCCTTATTTGAACTGACTAAGAAACTTTACTTTTCTGGAGGGGGCATGTTGTAATACCTCATATGTTCATTTTATACTCAGCTGAAATATGGAGGTTGATGTCGTTAATGATATTAATAGATTGCATTGATAAAGTATGTTAATTTTTTAGGAACCGTATTGAATGAATGGTTAGTCCTGTGCATTTAGAGCATCAAATTATCAATATATAGATGTGGTGTGCAGTGGAATTAGGTATGAAGAGGATCTTTGTGACAATATAGTATTCACTTGGGGGAGTTCTTTAGAGAAATGTTTAATTTTTCTACTCATTAAACAATGGTATTGGGTAGTCTACACCATATTGTTTGTTGCTATTTTGTTGTCTCATGCTTCTAGTGGAACATTCATTTTATTGATCTTTTTAGACTCACAGACATTTTACCTAATCATGATTTAGGCAAGAGCTTTCCGGCCCAATGATGAGGATGATGATGACTCAGATGACGACTACAGTGATGATGAAGAGTTGCAATCACCAATTGATGAGGTGGATCCATTTATTTTCTTTGTGGATACCATTAAAGGTAACAAGTTTAACTTCAGTTTTCAATCTGTTAGAGCTTAAGTTCTAGTTATTTTGTATTGTTGACTTGGAACTTACCTTTTGCTTGGTCCTTTCTCCTCGAATCAAAGCCATGCAAGTGTCCGATCCCTTGAGATTCCAAAACCTTACACAGACACTCGAGTTTCATTATCAAGCGCTTGCAAATGGTGTTGCCCAACATGCTGAGCAGAGGAGAGTAGAGATTGAGAAGGAAAAAATGGAGAAAGCATCTGCTGCTGCCACTTCATGACTTGAGCTTTGAATACCACTGTTGCTCAAATTTTGGTTTGCAGTTGCTGTTCATTGCTTATTTAATTCATTTGGTAATGCCCAACCCTTGGGAGCATTTGGTTGGTTCAATTGTCAAGGAGTTCTGTCAGCCCAATGAGAAATTTCTGGATTGAAGTGCTTGGAGCTTTGGATTCCCAACGATCGAGGTCCTAGTAAGCCCCAAGAAATTTTGTCGTTTATAAGTGCTTGGTGCTTTTTATGTCCAAGTTCCCACTTATAAGCATCATATAATACCAGACAAGTCTGTAGCTGCCCTGTTGTCTGGTTGCAGTTTGGTTCAGATGCCGGCCATTCTATAGCAGAAAATGCCAGTTTGTGTTGCTTTTTTCTACTTTCGTCCAAGTCTAGATACCATTTATTTAGGTCTTTCCTTGTTTGGTTTTAAATTTCCCTTTTCTGGGTTATATTATTTAGAACCCATGGATCTGCCTCATAGGTTGAGAGCAAGGAGGGTATCATGCATAAAAAGGTCTTCTTTGATGTGTATTTTATATTGATGGGTTAGTTGGTTGTTATATCTATAATTTTTTGGAGGGTAGCTTATAGTCCTTTTTTTCACAAAAAAAAAAAAAAAGATATTTTTTTTTCTTTTATGGGTACATACAGTCTACGAATATCATCGGACATTGGTTTACATGGGTATGGAGTTTTGGGTTGATTGCAGAGGGCTTATAAGCGCGGCTCTGCTGTTGATTGTAAAACGGTTATATGCTTATTCTTTGTATAATATGAGATTATGGGGAGAAACTGTTTTATTGATTCCGACTGTATTTACTTTTTATTTATTTGTGTTTTGTATTATTGTTCAGGAGAGATCAGTTGCACTTGATTTGATTTAGATTTGGAATTTTGAACTTTACCGTTTCTAGTGTGAAATTTGCTGTCTAGGATTTTGGGTTGAATGAATATTACTGGGTATTTTTTGATAAGTTAAGCGGATTGTTTTAAGGAAATGAAATAGAAACAGAAAACATTTTTGCTCCTTTTCAATGGCTTACTTTGTACTAGTGTTGTGCTGTTAACGTGCGAAGAATTGGAGATCCGTGACATCTTTACCATTAGCTTGACAATCTGCAAAAAAGAATCAGAAGTTCTTTTTTATTACTCCATCTGCAATTGAACTTTTTTTTAACCTTTTCTGTTCCTTTATATTATTATTTAACTTTGGTTCTTGTCCTTCGTGGATGCATGGAATATGCTTAATAAGATCATCGCTTTTGTTCTTTAAGGCATTGTTTTAAAAATCGGACGATTCCTTGACCCAGTCAAGGGGTTGGTTCTCGGGTTGACTGGTTTAACCGGTTGGACCGGTTGGTATGATCGGTATATAATAGACAAATCTCTGAATAATTTTTCAGTTCTCGTAAGTTTAAAAATCCACAAATTTACTCTTAAAACTTACACACGAGTCCTTGTATGTTTGAAATAACTGGCACATGAGTATCTGTATTTTTGAAATAACACTTTTATTATTAATTATTTTTTTTTCTCTTCCCATCACTTTCATCTTTCTTTTCTTTTCTCTCTCCCCGTCACTTTCTTATTTCTTCTATCCCTTTCCTCTTTTTTCCAGTAACTTTTTTCTCTTTTCTCTTTCTTCTTCCTTCCTCAGATCCACTTTCTCTTCGTCTTCTCTTTTCTTTCTTCTAATCTTTCTTCCTTCCTCTATTCTTCTTCGTCTCTTCTTCTCTTTCTTTTTCTTCTGTACATGACATATTTTAGAGTAAGAAAATGAAATGAAATGAAAGAATGCTTGTTGGCTCAATGAAATAGAGAATAAAACGATGTTGCAAATCTGGTTTAGGAATTAGGGATCAGATTAACCTCAAAACAGTGAACCATTTTAAGTTTCAAACCGGTTGGACCGATGGTTTTTACTGTTCCGGCGGTCTATTAAAGGTCCAAAGCTGGTTTATGTTATTTTCGGTTTTTATGTTAACTCGTATCGGAGTTCAGGCCAGGTCCCGATCTAACCGGTCAGACTGGCCGGTCCAGTCCGAGTTTTAAAACAGAGCTTTAAAGGAGCCAACACTAGCTCTGTACTAAAGATGAACAAATTGAGTAATGTTATGTTTATAATTGAATCATACAACCAGACAAAAGATAAAGGATAAAGAAGTTATTTTACATTAATTTTGTGTAATTTTTGTTTGGTTGTATAACTTAGTTGTATGGTCCAGTTGTAAGTAAAACATTATTGGGACAAATTAATGTAAAATAAAATTAATGTTACATACTCAAATTCACTCATCATACAAACTGATAATTACATTTTCCCATAGTTCATTCATAGATTGTAAAAAGTGAGAATCTATAACGTGTTGCAAGGTTTTAAAGTTCATTATTGGCCAATTGGATTGAGACCCAGCCAATGAGCCGGGCCGAGAGAGGCAAAACACTGGAGGGTATAGTTTACGGTTTACCTAATTTCACCCGTGGTTGGACTGGGGTACTGTATCAACCCGCTGGTCCAATCGGTTTTTCCAAAAAATCGGGTCAAATAAAAAAAAAAAAAAAAAAAACAATCTTTTATTTCAAAACCCAATTCACCCTTTGCAATTTCCTTGATCCCTTCGACATTTTTCACCCCATTTTTTGATTTCCTTCTGACATTTTGCCCTAAAATCGTCCACCGATGGCTCCCTTTGCGTGATTTCTTCTCTCATCATCAGCTCCAATCATCTGCATCAGTTACGTCGAAGTCAATCTCTTCCTCTTCCAAACTTTGAAATAGCCTACAACATCTCTTACTACTGCCTGCACAACCTTTTTTAAGGAAGATGAGCTGAAACTAGCAGAAGACACCACTGCTATGAGCTTTGGGATAGTGTCAAAATGCTTGGAATTTCTTTAAAAAACACTGCTGAACTATTACCTTGCAAAAATCACCATTTCTCTTTACAAATAATGCAATAGCTTAAATCTAGCCAACAAATCCCAAAAGTTTTTTTTCTTTTTTGTTTTGGTTGGAAACACATTGGATGGGAGTCAGGAGATAAGAGTGGAGGGGTGCGGGGACAGGGGTAGATGTCGATGAGGGCGGAGAGGTGCAATGTTGGTGGATTGGTGGAGGTGCTGGGCTGTTGGCAATGACGGTTATTGCTATCTTTATGGTATGGCTGGCAATGATGGAAGTGATGATGGCGGTGTAAGGGAAGGGACATTAAAGTGGATTTGATAGAAGACTCAGGGAAAAGTGATGATGGCGGTGGAAGGAAGTAGAGATTAAATTTAATTTGATAGAAGACTGAGGGTCTCTTTTCCAATTGATGTGGCAGAGAGGTGGGCAGATGTGTGGAAGGGAGGAGAGATTAAGGTGGATTGATACGTGTCACATTAGAGTGCATTGATGTTGATCATGATAAGTGGTGAGATATGGGACGCGTGTTGCAGAGAAATTGCATTTTAGAGGTTTTTTTTTTTTTTTTTTTTTTAGCATCATGCTGACGTCACGGTTTAACCGGTCAATCCGGGACCCAGGCCCTTGACCGGGTTAAGGGCCGAATGGGGTTTTAAAACATTGACGTGTTGTATAATAATAACACATTTAAGAGAATAATGATTAAGTCAACAAAGAAAAGAATGGATTAAAGTGAAAGAGTTGAGAGATATAAGACTTATTTAATAATTGATTGCTTTGGTATTTATAAAGGCAATTGACGCATTTCACTTATACATCATTTTTCTTTTCTAGGTAAGTATGCAATAGGAAAGAGAAAAAATGTACAATGAGGTCTATAAAAGCGACCGTCCTACCCTAGGATAAACCCTGGGTTAGGATCGAAAGAATTAATTAGCTTTTACAAGACTTAAAAAAACAAAAACAAAAACAAAACAAGAGAAGACAAACCTTCTTCTCTTCTTATCATGCCCTGGGTTAGGAACAAAATCAATTAGCCTAAAATAGACTAGGGAAGAGCAAAACAATCTCCTTTCCTACCTCAGGACATGACCTGGGTTAGGGAAGCAAAATAAGAAAGAAAAATCTAAGCCTAAACATGGCTAAAAGAATTCAAAAAGGAAAACAACTCTTCCTACCTCAGGACATGCCCTAGGTTAGGAAAAACCAAACCAAAACACAAAGACTCAAAAAACACCCTCTTCTTTGTCTATTTTATCATATCAAACAAAAATAGGAAACAGAGAACTACTCTGAAGCAACCCGAGAGAAACCACACACATTCATCATTTTTCTTAATACAACCAAAAAACAACTCTTCCTACCTTAGGACATGCCCTGGGTTAGGAAAAACCAAACCAAACACAAAGACTCAAAACACTCCTCTTGTTTATCTATTTATCATATCGAACAAAAATAGGAAACAAGAGAACTACTCATGAAGCAACCAGAGAGAAACCACACACATTCATCAATCTTTTTTAAATACAACCAATCCATTCATCCCCATCCTCCCACTCCGCCGCCCCCCCGCCCCCCCCCCCCCCCCCCCCCCCCCCCCCTCCCCCCCTCTCTAGTGCATCCTAGTTTGATTTTATTTTAATATAAAGTTGTTTTTCATTAATTTGCATGGTGTTACAATATTCTATGTTATTGTTTTGAATGCAATGTTCAAAGATGAGATCCATTGACATGTGTCTTGTTCCAGGAGAGTAGGAATAATAATAAAAAAAAATTGAATGCATCAGACTAGCTTATAAGTTTTTGGATGAAGGAAAAAGTAAAGAAAAATTAAAAGGACTACAGCAAAACAAAGAATTTAGTACTTATAAATTCTTTCCATTTCATTAATATCATCTCATTTTTTATAATAGAACTAAGGTTTATGATTAAAAGAGAAAATAAAAATTTTAGATTAATAACTCGGGGGTTTATCATGGGTGAAATGTAGGTGTTTAGATCAAAGGTTAACGCAACGGAATTTAAATTTTTTTTATTAAACACCAAAACCCAAGATCCTTAAGTTGATTTGTATTGCTTTAAAACATGAAATAAATTAATAATCATATTAATTTAGTATCATACTAGCATTTGAAGGCTCGTCCTCTTTATTCTTGTCTCCGAATTGATTCGCAAATCGATTCAAGAATAAAATCGCTCTAACGAAATCCCACGAAGGTAGGATGGTGAAATCACAACTAATTGAATTGCTAAATTCAAATAGTTGCACTAGGAATGATGAACACTTGAGAGAAAATAATTTTCTCTCAAATTCTCTCTAAAAAATGTGGAAGGGTGGCTAGGGTTTCTCCTAAAAAGTATTCCATTAATTTTTTCTCTTCCTTTATATAGTAAAGGATAACTTATCCCTCACTTGGAAATAGGATTAATGCTATTCCCATGTGGAATATC